CTGTGTTATTGTACACTCTTGACACGCTGTCTTGTGCTGGTGCTAAAGCCTGTGTGAATTAACCCTCTGTGTACCTGCGTTGTGCTGATGACAGATCCACATTAATACTCAGTTCATTTGCAACAGTTTTTATTCCTCTCTCTCTCTCCTCTTTGTGAGATCAAATGATCATTTATCCACTCTGATCATTTGTTTTGTGAAAGAGCTGCAGGTGATAGACTATTATAGATTATTAATAGATTTATTAATGTTAATAGATGACGACCAATTTTTTTTTTCTTATTACATGAATAAAGCAACCTGATTATGTAGCATGTATTACTCAATATCCTCAACATTGATGGCATACATAAAAATAAAAACTATACATATATAGTACTAAATAAGAGCTCATTTATTGCATTTTATCTTACCGTAAGGCTTCGGTCACTCTTCCACAGACCACTTAATGAATATTCTAGTACTGTAATGATGAGCAACTGGGGCTTAGGATTTGTTTGCACTCCGGGTCTCTCCGTCATTCTTGTTTATTTTTCGTTTTCCCCTCCGGAGTCGACTCTGACATCTGCGGGCATTTTTATCAGCGGCTAACTTAATTATGCTACTGTGGACTTAGGTTATTTGACTTGCTAACAAATTAGCCCTCAAATTAGCCTTGCTATCGGTGTTTCTGCTCCACTGTCATTTCTGAATTCCTCTGTGATTCTTGATTTGCTTTATTACAGGCTATTTTATAGAGGAGCAAACAGAGTGGGCACAGTCAGGCTGTATAATGAAGCGCTAGCTTTCTCGCAAAGTGCTAGCCTGGGCTAATGACTAGCTTTAGTCAGACTGGTAAAACAGATTCAGACACCCAAGCGCCATCATTAGATTTTCTCTCCTGAATACTCTGCAACAGAATAAGCCACTGCCAGTAGTTACAGCTGTCTTCGGTGGGTACAGTACCCGCGGTATGATTTGACTCTGTGTCCCCCAGAGTCTCAAATACTCGCGCTACACATCCCACACTGGCCCCTGCTCTCCGGTTATCTCGTAAAGACTCCATTCCAGCTCTATAAAACTTGGTGTCTTTATTACAGCTAAGTCGAGGCGCCCACTCTCAAATATAAAAAAGAAACTGCACCGCTGCAAGGGAGGAGCAGCTCAGGGACACACACTGGAAATGTGTTGTGGAGCTCATTCTCTTGTTGCCTTTGCTCCGTTCCAATAATGTGAAAAGAGAGGAATGAAACTTCATTTCATAGCATTCGTCTCCTGCTCTCCCTTCATTCACTCACTCTTTACCCCCTCTTGCTTTGTTTCCAACTTTATAAGTGCATTGTAGGTTCTCTCAGCAGGCCCTGAAGCCACACGTTCGCTTTCTCATTTATGCGTCTTAACGGGGTAGTGAAATATGAAGCTTCATTATGACAAATACACTGGTCAAATGGAGTCGTGTGAAGTAACACAGATAACAGTGGCCTGGTGTGAGCGGCAGTGTGTTTGTGCTCATACTGTGAGGTGCGTCGTTGAAGATGAGGATATCAAAATCTTGTGTGTGTGTGTGTATACACACATAAGCATTTTTGTAAGCATGAGTAAGTTGTGAGGAGTGTCGAGGTCGTGTGGATCACAGTCTGCCTGCTGGACAGTTTTCACTGAAACTAGTTCAAAAGTTCAAAACTTCTTTAATTGCACAATTACATGTGTAGTATTCATAATTATGATGCTTACAGAAAGCACAACATTGTGATTTTCTGCAATATCTACAATAAAATTTACCTTTTTGAGAATTTATACTGTCAATCTCTGTGTGTTTTAACTTATTTATTTGCTTATCAGCTTTTGTCTGTACATTTTTACTGTTTTAAACATGTAAAAAAATAAATATGTATAAATATAATTTTATAAATATAATCCATTTTTATCTGAAACATACAAAACTTTATTTATTAGCCAATGCATTTTGAAAAATAAAATTTAATTCCAAACTGAAAAACTGATTAATAACATTTTACCTTAGGAAATATATCAAAGCATTTGTATGCAAGTAACTAGGTAAAAGTAAATTTTGTTTATTGTCATAAAGTTTTGTCATGGCTTTAATAATCTGTTTCCTAATTGCATGTTAATGGGTTTTTAATAGTAGCGTGCCATTATTTGTAAGACGTTAAAGAAATGATCAGCCCTATATCCCTCCAATTTAAAGAACTTAAAAAAATCCCTCAGGTGAAGAGAAAAAGCTGTGAAAGAAAAAGAAAAAAAAACTAAAGGAACACCAGAACAAGAGACTTTTCCTACTTCTATGCGCAGTAGACATTGCTCTCTTTATTGAAAGATGACATTTAATCAATGGCCACCTCTTTAAATGGCATTCATTTAATTTGTGAGCTAGCCAGGCACGGCTGTCCTCTTCCCCTATTCTTTGTGTGTCTATGCGAGCGAATGACGTAACCGAGACACGCCGTGGCACACATACACTATTGATTACACTCAACACATCTTGGCAATTAAGAGATGGCAAGGTAGAGTAATAAAGGGTCATTAGTGAGGCATGCTTGTGAACCCTCATCAAAGGTGATGTCGCCGGCAGGGGCGGAGCTCCCGCAGGGTCGCCACAGGGGCTCGGCGCATTTGCATATCTGCTCGGAGACGCACTGTGGCTGACCCCGTGGCTGGGATCAGTATGAGTCGCTCTCGTTGATCAGGGGTTCACCACCGGTTCAAGGTAACAAAAAGTGAACCCATCGCCATTAATTGGTCCTGGGGAGAAAAAAAACAGAAAGAGAGACAAATAAAAAGGTTACTTGGGAAAGGTGAGGGGGCCTGGAGTGGATGGAAAGTAAAGGCTGTGTGCTCCAAATTGGGTATGAATTATAAATAAGAGCAGTGGAGGCAATGTCTTCTCCTCTGGAGTGCTGTTGTGCCAGGACCTACACCACTAAAGAGATTGTTTGGGCAGCAGGTATCGACTAGCTGATCGTCAGCTTGGTAAACTTGACCTGAGGCACTGATCATTGGCCGAGTTAGAAAGACTCAACCATTCTGATACACACACACAAGCACACACCTCTTTCCCATCTCACCACAGCTATCTTCATCAATACTGGCCAGACAGAGGTCAATGTAATAAACATGGAGGTCAATATCATGGCCATCTGAGTACACTTTTGGCATGGGCCTTAAAGTTGGTCTTTAATTGGATCCCTCCAGGCAAGTTCATGCACCAGTTGCAATGCGGAGGGAAAAGAATGAGAAATCGTGATTGAGGGGGAAAAGCACATCAGTCTGATCCTCTTTGTTCCACACAAACTGATGCAGACGTATATCAAGGCAGTCGTATGCTTTAAGCTACGTACGGTGTGAATGGTTCAAAGAGGAATTGATCTAGCCGGGGTTCAATTCAACCTTTCTCACAAACAGCATAATAAATAAACAGACCCAATGTACTTGTTTCGCGCCAGATGCTACCTGTCTGAAAGTGCTGCATTATGAGGGCTGTGAAAGGCTTTTGTGGGACTTTGAAAGGTCTGATGAGGACTTAGGGTCTACATGTCACTTCACCTGGATCCAATGACCCAAACATGGGAATTCTTTAACCTGCTGCCACAGAGGGGAAAACGGAGCCATTTGTGGATTAACTGATAGGTGTATCGAACTCCAGAGAGAGAAAATTTAATCTTCCATGGATAGCGGCCATTCCATCCATTGTCCTTAAGTGCGCAATATCCTAATAGATGGAAAATGTTGTGTCGGGGCACACAGTACACAACACAGAGTCCAAAGTTTTTGCTTGGCATCAGACGTACTAAACTATTTAGAGTATGAAACAGTCCTCACATCACTTCCTTTAATCTAAGGGCCCTGGAGACCTCAGTAGGAAGTGTTAAAGGAACAATTCGGTCTAAAAATGATCATTTATGTCATCATTTATTCACCCTCATATCATTCCAATCCTTATGCAGAACACAAAATAAGATCATTTTTAAAAGTGTAATTATTGTCCATACACTCAGACTATGTAGAAATTGTACCTATAGGGGTACGGCAGCTTGTCAGTGGTGCATTAATCTTAAAGGGACATTTTTGGGTCCCACTTTATATTAAGTGGCCTTAACTACTATGTACTTACATATAAATTAATCATTTGAAACAATGCACTTACTGTGTACATACATGTTTTTACATTGTACATTTTTAAAATACCGGCATGTAGTTACATCTGTAATTAATTTCTGTAAATTACCTTTATAATTATAATTAATTATAACCCACCCTTAAACCTACCCATACCACCAAACCGGTCCCTAAACTTACCCATATTCCACCTACAATATGAACACAACGAGTACATTGAACTTATTATTTTTTTATGTAAGTGCATATAGTTAAGGCCTCTTAATATAAAGTGGGACCCATTTTTGTACCTTATTTCTTCCTAAAATTGCATAGTAGTATTTAAGGTACTACTCTGAGGTACTAATATGCACCTTTTAGAGGTACAAAGTTGTCCTTTTAAAGAAACTGCTCCAGTGACAAGCTGTTGTACCTCTAAAGGTACAACATTTTTTCTGACAGTTTACAGTGAAAGTTTCAAAATATCATCTTTAGTGTTGATCAGAAAAAAAAATGAAGTCATACAGGGTGACTAAATGTGAGAGTTTGCATTTTGGGGTTAACTATCCCTTTTAAATATAAAAATGTGACTTATTTTCCTGTAATCATAAACAGTTATGGCTGTATGTTTTTCACGTCTTTAAAGAAACTGCTCCAGTGACAAGTTGTTGTACCTCTAAAGGTACAACATTTTTTCTGACAGTTTACAGTGAAAGTTTCAAAATATCATCTTTAGTGTTAATCAGAAGAAAAAATGAAGTCATACAGGGTGACTAAATGTGAGAGTTTGCATTTTGGGGTTAACTATCCCTTTTAAATATAAAAATGTGACTTATTTTCCTGTAATCATAAACAGTTATGGCTGTATGTTTTTCACGTCCACCTTCATGTTCTGTCTTTTGCAGGTACTGAGAAGCACGAGTTAACATCATGGAAGAGCTTCCACTCCATCTTCAAGTTCTTCAGCGATGCCCTTAAGGACCACGAGGATGAGTCCTCCTCCAGTCCGGTCACCACACGCAGCTCACACCGCATAAAAAACGAAGACTTATAGAGGGCTCACAGATCCCAAACCAGAGCCCACCTTCGTCCCCTCTTAGTTCTTTTTCTCCTCCGTTCTTTTTATGAAAAATATTCCTCCTTGAAGCCCTCCTCCCAGTAAATTGTACGACTCTGAGGAGTGCAGGGTCAGCCTGTATACATCAGAATAGCGTTTTGCATTACTTCTGGATGAGTGCAACTGTCAAAGCAATATGGCTTCACTGCTTGTGCCTCCTGTGGGCCGCTGTGTGGATTTGGTGGTGGCCCATCGGTGGCCAGATTAAGGCTGACAGGCAGCGCCGCACACCGCCTCTTGATGCACCTCTAATTATCCTGACATTGTCCTGAACTGAGCTAATGCCTGGGAAGCACCTGCACACACACACACACAAGTCTGGCGAGTCCTAGTGCCTGCCTACTAAGTCTTTGTATCTCTCTTTGGTCCTCGTCTGTTTTTAAATCCCTTAAAACCTTGTGCGAGCATGAGTTTTAGGAATATCTCCCTTTGACAGAGCAGATATGTGAGTCTTGGAATATCTTCGTATGTGTCAGGATCAGGACGGTTTAATGTTATCCAAAGCCATTCCTTAAGGTGTTTGCAAATGTAACCTGCCCTTTTTGCGAAGTCCATGACTATTTGGACTGTTTTAACACATCATTGTCATCCTCTGCTAAAGCTGAAGCATGTTATGTTACTGTCTCAGCAAAGACAAGAGACATTGTCTCCTGGACAATTTGGTATTAATGGAGGCTTAAAGATATGTCATTCAGGCATGTCAACAGATCACTCTGCTTTCGCTTAAAAATTAATCTCACAGTAAAAGGCTGTTTTGGTCTCATCACTTTTTAGAAGTATCATTGCTATTTCAGATTGCTGAAGGTAATCAATGTCAGTAGTTGTAGTGCTTTATACATATTACATGTTATTTATTTATTTTTAATCCAAAATAGAGATGTGACTACAGCTGACAAAATGCAAGACCCCGCCCAGAGGCTTTTGTGTTTTAACTGTTTTTACAATGAATTAAATTTTTAATATTCCTGCAAATATTCATTAGATGCCATTGATCAACTGCAAGTTGCTTATGCTGTCTAGTTAAAACTGTTCGACTCAGATTCCAATATTGTTGCCTTAGGAATAAACACACAACGTTCATCTTTATTTGATTTTCCAAAACTGACAAGCCATATGTGAATATTTCACTCGCGTTTAATACAGCCTTAAACCAAATCGAAAACTTAATTGGTTTGTAAATAAGGACTCATTTTAACAATTAATATTTTAATCTAAGATATTATACGTTTTACTGAAACATCCTAGTCTGAAATGATAGAAGTGTAAGATGCTTTATGGGATTTCTGCCTTTTTTATTCGCTTTTGAGGGTTCATTAAATGAAAACGTGATCCGATATTTTAATTTTGATTTCACTTTTCATAAAGCGTTCAAATATGTTAGTCTTTCGTCTTTGAATTAATGGCAGTTTGTGCCCTGATTAATCGTCAGTTTGTTTTCATATCATGTGAGTGTAATATCTCCATGCTGTAGTTAAATAAAGTTCTTTATAAAAAAAAAATGATGCGTAACGATCTTTGATTTTAACTGTCCTGGTTTGTGTCGCAAAAATGCTTTATGTACATGGTACTCTTATTTACAACGTAATGATCGTAAAGGCATCACTTTCAGCCCAAGAAGTTATCGGGTTAAAGTTCAACCTGACGGGGGGAAAGATCATCGGAGCCCGATAAAGCCTGTTGCTCCAGCGGCTCTCCTCTCAGCTCTGTTCCCAGGGAAGGTGAGCCTGCTCGGAGAATGACTCGCTCTTCTCACGTAACAGCTGTGGAACTCTATCACGAAAGCTGATATTTGTGTCTAGATCGAGCCCAGGCCTTTACAATGAGACCAATGTTAACCAAAATAAGTGTCAGTCAAAGACAGAGAAGTATCGGATGAAGCCATGTCTATAGCACCTAGTTTTTTTATGTTCCAACTGCTTGTTTTAGACCTTAACTTACGCAATTATGGCCTGAGAGTGACAGTCATAGCAAAGCGGTAATACGACAACTGTCCTGCGAAAATTAATAAACCAAATGTCATGCCTCTAGATTTTGATTAATTGTCCTGAGAGAGGAAAAAAAGCTGGAATTTAATGTTTCCATGTCTGGTTTGTTTGTTTAGATGAATGAAAAACAAAGATAATAATAGAATATTTTTTTAGAAATTAAAAATAACGGTTCGTTACATAAAATAATGGCATTAAAACCGTATAACACACACACACACACACACAAATCTTACAAGTGGTGTAGCAATGAAAGAACCTTTGAATGTAGCTACTTTGTGTTTACATATAATTATTTTTAAAAATAAAAATATCAAACAATCAAATGCAATGGGTTTCGCTCAGAGTTATGTAGGTATAAAACGGTACTCTCTTGTTTATGGATTCCTTGTCACATGAGAACAAAATGGTATTGTTACGCCACACTGTTTTTCAAATAATCATATTTTAAAAACAAAACTCATAATTGTCTTTTTGAAGGAATAATTATTCGAAAAAGAAAACTAGGCTACTTTAGTTAACATTTATTTTGCAAGAAATCCAGTTTTATAATGTAGGCTACTTTAATACCTCAGAACAGATACAGATAGACTTTTCCCCCTCACAAATAAATAAATAAATAAAACTTGTAATTCAGAAATTAAACGTTAATCATATAAGAGGTGTAAAGTCACATGTTGTATGACATGATTTTTAACTATTTGAATAACTTTAAGCGCCGGGCCATTTATCCGATAATTACATTAAACATAAATGGAAAAAATAATTTGAAAACTCAACTTATGCATAAGCAAACACTGTACACTTACACAACAAAATTAATCAATCGAAACCATGCATAAGTAATTTCAAATTAAACTAATTAAATTAAGTTACGCAAAAAAGCAAGCATATAATGGTTCTCTTACTTCTCTTACTTTATCTAATTTGTGGGTTTTGGTTAATTATTTTAACACCGTTTAAATTTGTAAAGCCTAAATTGTGTGAACTGTTTGTGGATTCTGTGCAAACACTGCAGACAAAAACTCCAAAACTTACATCTCACCTTAGAATTGTCAGACTTTAAACACTAAGGTAATGTGATGATTTCATCCTCAACACTTTTTGTCATCACGCTCTCTTCCAGGAGAGCCACACTTAACTGCAAAAATATCGTTGTATTTGAAGTCTATGAAGTCCTTGATTGATATTTCAATTTTATCCGTGTTTTGTCACACACGCTCTCGTCTCCTCCCATACTCTCATGCGCCGCCAAATATGGACTATTCTCAAAGAGTCGAGCACTTGCTGAAGCTGGACTGTCACTCCTCCAGGCCCTTGTCTTCGGGAGTACTTCACCAGATCGCTGTCAGATCTCTATTTGCATAATTATATGCTCGGTTCTGAAGGGAAATCTAGCCCCCAAATTTTACGGGTCAGCAAACTGCAACAATCAATGTTTTATTGTGTCCTGAAAAAGAAAAAAGCTCAAATAATACAACTCGCTCTCATATTCTCCGTCCCTCCACCACTCCACTATCTATCTATCTATCTATCTATCTATCTGTCTGTCTGTCTGTCTGTCTGCCTGTCCCTCACTGTCCCTTCTTGATTGATTGTTATGAGTTCATATAACACACATGGCCCACACACCCTTTCACACCCACCCACAAGCGCACCTTGGCTTCCTGGAGTTACGCTTCCTCGTGCGAAAGAGCTCCGTTAATGTGTCATGAGAGTGGGATATGTTTTGGGGTGATCACGCCACACAGTACTGGACAGCTGCTGCTGGCAAAGTCTTGGCTTTAAATGATTGCTTTCAGGTTGCTGTCTGTCCCCGCTTCTGTCTTCGATTCGGATATTTTTAGCTAGACAAAGTGTGTGTGAAATTGAGTGGAGCACGTTGCACAAAATGGATCACACTCCTCTTTCTTAAAGGGAAAAGGGAAGACAACTTTCATTAAGTTATGTTGGGACGTCATGATATGCAAGAGAAAAAACCCCCACAAAGATTGAATTTGTCCTGTGTTGCTATGCAGTGTTTTCGAAACATTTGCTCGTAAGTGAATTATTGCATTTCGAGAATAATTGTACTAGTCTCATAGATCCTGGGATCCCAGGTGCTTAATTTAACATGCCGACAAATCCGTAAGGAAAATAATAATAAATACAATAAAAAAGGGATATTTTTGTGGATAAAAATTGCCCTGCTCTTACTTGGACAATGATAAACGGACTTTGGAATTCAACAATATGAGAAGGCGCCCGCATAAACTGATTTCAGTGTAGGTCAGAGAATATAATGTCCTGAATTCAGTTTATGTGATGAAAGGGAATGGCGATAAGGCATCAAAACAATTATTAGCTCTGAATCCACTTTTATGTAAAGATAAATTCCCGTCAAAGATATTAGGTGTCATAAAACAGGACAAGGAATGAAAGAGCACGTTCCATCTCACAAATATAAAAAAAAGAAAGAAAAAAATTAAAACTTTTTTTCTGTAGGGTAACGCCTGTTCGCATAAAGCTAAATCAGCGAAATGCAGTGATATTGTTTATGCATGATACGAATCCTACGAATACATGATATGAATCATATTTGACGTAGTTTTTTTTTTAAATATATTTACTCAGTAGTCTTAGCCTATATATACGCAATGGTAGTCTTTGTGAAATGTTAAATTAATTTATTCGTTGTTTTAGTAAATATAGATGATGATGATGATGATTATTATTATTGTTTCATCGTCCTTGTTTTCACATTTAAAACAGATTTTTGTTCTGATCTTTAAAGGGTTTGTATATAATTAACAAGTTGAATATATACATATCAATTATAAATTATAATTATATATATATATATATATATATATATATATTTCACTGAACATCTGGTCGTCCCACACTTGTCTAAAAACAAGTGGGTTTTTTTCCGCCACTCAGTTCTTAATAGGGGGCTTTAAGAGCAAGAGCTAGAAGACCTGGACTTAAATCACTCGGTTAAGGTAACCGGAGCGCTCGGAGCGTTACAACCTGTCATTTTACAGCTAGGGATGGAATTCCCGCATAGAGTGCCAAGCGGGTCACCGTGATATCCAGCGACCCAGGGTTAGGACACGATAAAACCTGATCCCCTCTAAACAACAAGAGGCCTTTTCAATGAAACCAGACAACAGTGCCTTAAAACTCTTATTATGCGCCTCTCTCCACTTGATTCTATGTGATGTGAGGTTGAAGGCCTCTCCAGTCAGGACTGAGAGTCGGTTGCGCGCGGTTCTGTCTCGTCAGAAGCTTATAGTACCCTGGTGTTCAATCACGCATTATAGATGAGTCTCATCAAGCTTAACGGGTTCCTTGGAGGCTAAACACATTGGTGCGCGTGCTGCTTGCTCCCACCTGAATAACCGGCGCGTTATTGCACAGCGCATCCTCATTAAGAAACGCCCCAAAAGATGAGGCTCTAAACTAAGTTATTGCCATCCAATGAACCCAAATTAGCGAGGCCACAGAGGTGCCCGTCTGACGGACTGCCGTTAAAAACAGCTTTACAGGCAACAAGGTAGACAAAGGAGAGTCTATGAGTGTGAAGGTGTGATATATATCGCACATATATGGGGTGATAAAATGGATGAATGGGTAATATCCATTAATTGGGCCGCCGATTCGTGGCTGAACATTCACGTTTAGGCCGTCTCTATTTCTCCTAAATTCTCTCACCCTTTAGAGTGTGGTGTTCGTACAAAATAAACTGCTTCTCTCTCTCTGTCTCTCTGTGTGTCTCTCTCTCATCTCCCTGACAACCGTCACTGCTTCAAACCGCTGTGTCCTTTCAT